AACTTGGAGCTTACCAGCTGCTGTCCTGATATCACTGGTACCTGGCATTATGCTTTACAGCAAACATGGCCCAGCCCGACAAAGTGACATTGATGACAGATCCGGCCCTCGTAACCAATGAGTCCGACACCTCTGCTCTAAATACTAGTGTTAGGAGGCAACACCACAGGAAGACCTCTATGCTCTGTTGGTTGACATTCTGGGACGACTGGTTGGCCACTGTGTGAAACAGAATGCTGGATTAAATGGATCACAGGTCTGATCCAGAAGGTTTTCCTTATGTTCTTAGGTTATTTTGCTCTCTTTGGGCCTATGCATCACAGTGGAATGTCTGTGGCCTTGTCCCCTTCCACAGAAGAAGAAGAAGAGGAGGAGGAGGAGGAGATTGGATTAATACCCTGCCCTTCATTACCCAAGGGTGTTTCAGAGCGGCTTACAAACTCCTTCCCCTCCCCACAACAGACACCCTGTGAGGTAGGTAGGGCTGAGAAACTGAGAGAGCTCTGATAGAAACTGCTATTTTCCAAGAACAGCTCTTATCAGAACTATAGCTTGCCCAAGGTCTTCCAGCAGGTGCAAGTGGAGGAGTGGGGAATCAAACCCGGTTCTCCCAGATTGGAGTACGCACACTTAACCACGACACCAAACTGGCGGTGTACTGAGCCACAGAGATACCACTAAGAGCAATTCACTGACCTGTCTCCATTTTGCTCTAGAGTTGCCAGATTCCATGTTGGGAAATACCTGGAGGGGGTGAAGCCTGAGGAGGGTGGGGTTTGGGGAAGGGAGGGGCTCCGATGTGATAGGGTGCCATAGAGTCCACCTTCCAAAGCAGCCATTTTCGTCAGCTGAGCCAATTTCTGTTGCCTGGAGATCCGCTGTAATCCCAGGAGATCTCCAGCCACCGCCTGGAGGTGGCAACCCTGTTTAGAGCTCCCTTCCCATTCCCATAATGGGTTAGATATTTAACTTGCTTACACTGAAAAAGAGAGAGGGGATGTTTAGAAGCTCAGTGTTATATTTGGGAAGGACTAAGCAAGTATTTCCTTAGTTTAAGAAAGTTCACTGGGGGGGACGGGGGGGACCAGAGCCAGTCTGGTGTCGTGGTTAAGTGCCCGGACTCTAATCTGGGAGAACCGGGTTTGATTCCCCACTCCTCCACTTGCACCTGGCTGGATGACCTTGGGCAAGCCGTAGTTCTGACAAGAGCTGTTCTTGAAAAAGAGCCGTTTCTGTCAAGAGCTCTCTCAGCCCCACCTACCTCACAGGGTGTCTGTTGTGGGGAGGGGAAGGGAAAGGAGTTTGTAAGCCGTTCTGAGACTTTGAGTGAAAGGTGGGGTATAAATCCAATCTCTTCTCTCTCTCTCTCTCTCTTCTTAATACCATCTTCCCCCCACACACAGACTCCCCAAATTGGCTTCAGCACCATGTTTGCATAAACCTTCAACCTTCCAAACGGCTCTTCTGAGAACTGGTTCTGGGCACTTCTCTAAAATCCCGTAATAAAATAATACAGTAGAAGATTTCGCTTGCACAAAGAGAACTGCTTAAAAGTACAGTTCCGGAGCCTATGGTAATTTCCCGTATTTCATGTTGACGGCAAACCAGAGTTTAATCCACCGCAGAATAACCTGGGACGTGCGTTTCGGAGCCTTTGGGTGATTTTATTGGGAGCAAGACAGGGGTGGGTGGAAAACTGCAAACCAGCAAGTGCTTTAATAATTTGAAATGTTGGGAAATTCTTCATGGGGGGGGGGAACTGACTTAGAGAGGAGAGGCTGGTGGAGTGTGTCAACTGCACAATTCAGGACCATTTGCCTCTCACTTGCCCATTGACAACAGGCCCGTTTGATCGACAAAATCTTGACCCGTAAACAACCCGCTAAACAAAAGGAGGCTGCTGTTGCCGCCGAAAGGCAACTCCGAGCAGCAAATCTGGCCTTTGAATGAAATTGGAAAGTCACAAGTACTCAGATTCTTGGGGGAAATGAAAGAGAACTTATTTATTAAAAGAATAAATCATCATAGCGGCAAAGGTAGGATGCAGGGAGCGCAGACTCACAGAAGGCGATTCAGAATAACTTGAGGTAACCCACACTGTAGGGTTGCCAACTCTAGGTTGGGAAATCCCTGGAGATTTGGGGGGGTGGATCATTAGGGAGCTGGGGTTTGTGGAGGGGAGGGAATTCAATGAGGTACAACGCCACAGTCCACCTCCCAAAGTGGCCAATGTCTCCAGGTGAATTGATCTTGGTCATCTGGAGATTAGTTATAAGCCCAGGAGATCTCCAGCGAACACCTGGAAGTTTAAGTATACCAAAAAAAAAGGACCATGGCGTCCCGTAGCTAGTACAGAAAAGAAAGCCACTGTGTTAAGAACAAGATACCAACTATTTGGTATAGTGGTAAAGTGCGCGGACTCTAATCTGGGAGAACCGGGTTTGATTCCCCACTCCTCCACTTGCGCCTGGCTGGATGACCTTGGGCAAGCCATAGTACTGTCAGAGCTGTTCTTGAAAAAAAGAGCAGTTTCTGTCAGAGCTCTCTCAGCCCCACTGACCTCACAGGGTGTCTGTGGTGGGGAGGGGAAGGGAAAGGAGTCTGTAAGCCTCTCTGAGACTCCCTTGGGTAGTGAAGGGCAGGGTATAAATCCAATCTCTTCTTCCTCTTCTTCTTTCACATGCAGCTGCTGCTGTGACCTTGGGTCAGTCACAAGTTCTTTCAGAGCAGTTCTCTCAAGGGCAGTCCGCGAAAGAGCTCTCTCAGCCCCACCTACCTCACAGGGTGTCTGTTGTGGGGAGGGGAAGGGAAAGGAGTTTGTAAGCCACTCTGAGACTCCCTTGGGTAGTGAAGGGCGGGGTATAAATCCATTCTCTTCTTCTTCATCATCTTCTATTTACAGTGGTTATCTAACATTCAGTAATCTTTCCAAATACTATTCTGAAAAAAAGCTATACCATTCTTAAAGGGATAGCAGAACACTCCAAAGGTGAGGACAAACTTGAGCTGAAGTCCCACCACGGCTCAGGCTCCCATGGGAGTGCTCCGGATCGAGCCGCCACGCAGATGGAGCTGCCAGTGGCGATGGTAAGTTCACCCCCATCCACGCCAGCAGGTCCAATTTGCCCCCACCGACAAAACAGTTCTGGCTACGGGGCTCACATAGACCTCTTACATACTTGAGGCCCAGTTTGGTAGAGTGGTTAAGTGCCGGGTTTGATTCCCCACTCCTCCACTTCACCTGCTGGATGACCTTGGGCAAGCGGTAGTTCTGTCAGAGCTGTTCTCTCAAGGGCAGTTCTGGAAAGCGCTCTCTCAGCCCCGCCTACCTCCCAGGGTGTCTGTTGTGGGGAGAGGAAGGGAAAGGGGTTTGTAAGCCGCTCCGAGACTCCGAATGAAGGGTGGGGTATAAATCCAACTCTTCTTCTTCTTGGGTCAGTCACAAGTTCTGTCAGAGCTGTTCTCTCAGGAGCAGTCCTTGAAAGAGCTCTCTCAGCCCCACCAACCTCACAGGGTGCCTGTTGTGGGGAGAGGAAGGGAAAGGAGATTAGAAAGAGATTGTAAGCTGCTCTGAGACTCCAAGTGAAGGGTGGGGTATAAATCCAATCTCCTCCTTCTTGTCTTCTTCTTCTTCCTCCGCGATCACTCCACCTATCTTCACGTGACTGCATCTTTGGTTCATCCCCCCTCTCCACTGGCCCGCTCAAGGATGCCTCTACCCACTTCTTCAACTCCGGTAATAAGTCTGACTCGACCTCCTGCCAGCCTTTCTTGCCAGAATTTTAACTGCATCCCTCAGAAGGCACACACAGCATGGGGTGATGAAAACCTGCATCACAACCGGAGATAAGAGAGGGGTTGCCGGGAAGTCCTCCATTATTTACCCTGACACGGCTTCTCCGAGGAGCTCTGTACTTGTCCTGTTAGCTTATAGCGAACCCCCCCATTTCTTCCGGCCCTTTGCTTTGTGGAAGTGCGTGTATGGGGTGGGATATAGGTTAACGATTCCTATTTCCATTGGTGGGGACTGCCGCCGTAAATCTCCGGAAGCAGTGCTTCTTTCTTTTTCCCGTTAAGCCTCGCCTTATCTCTGCGGCTGCATGCGTCTTTTCCATATATTCAACGTGTGGCTGGAGATTTCCCCTCCATCTTAAAAAGCCTCATCGTGCCCTGCCTGCCTCGGCAGATAAATTGAGTGCCACGGGGATCTGCGTAATATTTGTTTCTACTTCATTTGTTAGATAGCTACGGAGGAACCTCCGAGAGATGAGCTGACCTTTCCACTGAACACTCCCCATTCCCGAGAGCTTGTGGGCTTGGCCTCCCTGCCTGCCTGCCCCCTTGCAGCCGCTTCCCCGCAAGCAAAGCCCAGCGTAAATCAGGCGAACTGGAGGAGCGGGATTTGTTACCTGGGCGTCCTGATTCGTCAGGGCGGGAGGAGGAAAAGGTGGAGGTTGAAAGAGTGAGCTGAAAGGGCTTTTAGAGGGACTGGGGGTCTTGAAGCACACAGGGGAGTGCTGAAGGGTAGAGGGAGCCCCCGGGGGCAGGGATGAGAGAAGAATGGCAAAGATAGGAGAGACTTCCATTCTTAAGGTTGGTTTAATACCGATGCGCTGCTATGGTTGGTAAGGCTAAACCAGGCATCCCCCAACATGGTCCCCAGGGGAACCAGGGTGCCATTGACACCTTTTCTGGTGCTCACCAAGTGTTTTTAGGTTTCTGATTGGCTATTGGAGATTTTTTTAAAAAAAAAGCTGCTTTGGCTGCAGCTGCCACCACAGCACGAGGACCTTCCCCGTGTGACTGACGTCAAGCTGTAGCGATCGTCCTGTGTCCGGCTCCGCCTCCCATGGCAGCCTTTTTGTGCTGGCCATTTTGTGGCTGCCCCCGCCGTGCTGTTTCAGAGCTCCAAAGGTGCCCGCAGGCTCCGAAAGGTTGAGAACCCCTGGGCTAAACCGACAAGGTGGAACCTAACACAAATTTAACAGCATCACATTTACCTGTACCCGTTGTCCACCAAGTGGTATTCTCCTGTGCACGGAAGCCACGGGGGTGAACGTGCAGTCAGGGCTGCCAATCTCCCGGTGGGTAAACACAGAAAGCACCCCGTGTTGAAATAACAAACACAATATTCACATGTGTTTATAGCTAAATAGATTTGCTTTTTATACACAACGTCAACTCTAGTGTATTGTAAACACTTTCAAACGACAACATCACATTTCAAACACTTTCAAACTAAGTTATATAACGTGAAGAGTCCAACTGTCTTCTTCCTGATGGAGGATAGATACCCAGGGCTCTTTTTGTAGAAAAAGCCCAGCAGGAACTCATTAGCATAATAGGTCACACCCAACAGCAGAAATCCGTTAGCATATTAGGCCACACCCCTGACAGCACAGTTCATTGGCACATTAGGCCGCACCCCCATGTTACCAGAAGTATGGTCATCCAGCCCCACCCACCTTTTGCTTGTTATTCTGTTTACCTTGTTTGTTGTCAAAACCCAGGGCCTTTTTTTGTAGCAGGAACTCCTTTGCATGTTAGGCCACACACCCCTAATGTAGCCAATCCTAATGAGTTCCTGCTGTTGGGTGTGGCCTATTATGCTAATGAGTTCCTGCTGGGCGTGGCCAACCTGGGAGCCAGCCGGAACTCCGTTCCTGTGCGTTCCTGCCCAAAAATAGCCCTGCCGTAACCTATGTACTCCTGCGCACTGACATTCTGCGACGTTAGTCATCCAGAAAAATATCTCTGGGGGAGTTCCGGATCCGTAGCCGATGGCTGCAGGAAAGGGTTTGGGGGAAGGCAAAAAGAAATTCCACGCAGGACACCCCGGACAGAGAGGCGCGTGCAAGCACACAGAGGTAATCCTTACATCCTTGGCCGCCTTGGGATCGGAGACGCAGGCGAACGTGATGTCGCAGGTGGAGACCACTTCGGCGGGGGTTCTTCCCAAGCGCGCCCCCTCCTGGATGAACAGGTCGCACTGCAAAAGCCACAGAGAGCCACGTGTCAGAGGCGGGGGCCGCTGGGCGAGGGAACCCAGGCGCCTCCCACTTCAGCCCTGGAAAGGGGTTGCGATACGGGCCGCGGCAGACGGCACGATGTCGCCCACGAGGGAGCAGGTTTTCTCCTCCTCTCCCGCTCACACGGACTTGAGAGGCAGAGAGTCCTGCAGCTGCCGCTCGTCAGGACAATTGTCTCCAGGGAAGACCTAGCGGGACAACCCAGGGATTCCCAAGGACCCCTGGGCTCCAGAGGAGCTGGTCCAGGCCCCCACAGGCGACCGTCCTCCTGCAGGAACGGCAGGCGAGCGGCTCCGAGGGGGTCTGTCCCAGCACGCAGCCCGCTCACGGCCACCCCGTAAGGTTTTCGAGGCAAGAGAGCAGAGGGGGTGGGCCACTGCCTGCCTCTGCGTAGCGACCCTGGACTTCCTCGGTGGTCTCCCACCCAAATGCTAATCTGCTCAGCTTCCGAGATCTGACAAGATCGGGCCAGCTGGCGCTACTGAGGTCAGGGCGGAGGTGGTTGGCCATTGCCTGCTCCTGTGTAGCGACCCTGGACTTCCTTGGTCACCTCCCATCCAAACACCGGCCAGGGCCGACCCCGCTTAGCTTCCGAGATCAAGCTAGCCTGCAGGACAGCCGGGCCTCAAGCACTGCTTTGCAGAGGAGGGATGTGCAGACGTCTCTCCCCGCCAGGGCCGTAGCTACAGTGGGGCTTTGGGGGGCTCTGCCCCCTTTCTTAAAGGCACAGCCCCACAAGGATTTCTCCTGGAAATGCTTTTTTCAATCATTTTCAATCATTTTTTTTAAATGCCGTGAGCTACTTTAAGCAGACCGGGGTTCTGTTGTGGACTATTCCCTCACTGAGCAAGGGGGTTGGAGTAGGTGACCTCTAGGATCCCTTCCGACTCTGTGTCAAGAAACTGGTCTTCTTTAAGAGAGATTTTTCTGCCAAAGTGTTAGCTTTTTTGACTACAGAAGTCATCACCCCCACCTGCTGGCTTGTTAGGCTGGCAGAAGGGATTAACTTGCAGCAGCTGAGAACTGTCCTCTAAAGGGGTCGACAGCCTGCATTTAGAGACCTATCCTGGTAACAGCTTTCTATTGGCTAAAAAGGGTGTCTGTTGTGGGGAGGGGAAGGGAAAGGAGTTTGTAAGCCGCTCTGAGACACCTTTGGGTAGTGAAGGGCGGGTTATAAATCCAATCTCCTCCTCCTCCTCCTCCTCCTCCTCCTCCTCCTCTTCTTCTTCTTCGTCGTCTTCTTCTTCTTCTTCTTCTTCTTCTGTTATATTCTTATATTCCCAAGAACTGCCCTTGAGACAAGAGCTCTGAAAGAACTTGTGACTGACCCAAGGTCACACCAGCAGCTGCATGTGGAAAAGTGGGGAATCAAACCCAGTTCTCCCAGTATAGCATCCGTGCTCTTAACCACTACACTAAACTGGCGCTCCAAGGCTCCAAGGCTAGTGCGATCCAAGGCTCAGCTCATGAGCGATCTTGGCTGTCAAATGCAGTGTATTCACCTGCTCAACACGTTCACTGCAAAGTCTGCAGCGTCCCTAATTTGTTTGGGGCAACAGTCGGAAAGCTTAGTTTCGGAGACTGTAATTCTGCCACAAATTTGCCATGCAAGACTGAGCCGCTCGCTTGTTTCTAGTAGGGAGGAAAGCAATTTTGGATTCACCGTTGGGGAGGGAAAAAAGTAGGGATGTTCAAAACATATGTCTCTCGTTTGCAGTAAATTTTTAGCTTCCAAATCACATCTGTACTAGCCAGAATACTTTAGATTTCGTGTGTGTACCGAGAAAGTAAATTGAGCTAAGCTTATCTCCGAGTAGATACACAAAGCTAAACCTTAAAAAAAAAAAAAAAGATACAAAAATCCTTGGGATTTTTTTTACCTTTGATCTGAAATTCTTTAAATTATGGCTGTGTAGCATCAGTGGCCTCACACCACAGGCTCCAGCCAGAATTTTGAGCAGGGACAGACAGCATAAATAACACCTGCCTCTGCCGATGCATACAGATCCCCCCAAATTAGATCCGCACACCAAATAAAGCATCCCCTTTCATGTATAATTTATCCAAGTCATTTCTACGGTGGCAGCGCCGCTTTTGTTTGGGAATGATAGGCTGGACAAAGTATCATCATCGCACGGTTTTGCTGAGCGAACAAAGGATAGAGCCGTAATCTGTGATTGGAACTGCATCACTTTATTCAATTAGACGCCCCGTGCTTGGTCCACAAAAGCCTCCAGACAATAAGAACTCCCCATTTGCTCGCCGGCCTGCCAGTTGATTCCCTTTAAGCTGCTGTGGTTTCTTTGTCGCCCTAATACACCTTCCCTCTTCTAAACAAGTTCAGCACTGGGCTGTCACATTTAAATATCCCCCATCACATTATCCGGCACCAAACTCTTGTAAGTTTTCATCCTCTTGAATATTGCGAGGAGCCAGTTTGGTGTAGCGGTTAAGAGCGGTGGACTCTAATCAGGAGAATCAGGTTTGATTCCCCACTCCTCCTCCTCATGAAGCTTGCTGGGTGGCCTTGGGCCAGTTACAGTTCTCTCGGAGCTCTCTCGCCTCATCTAACTCACAAGGTTGTGGGGAGAAAAAGGGAAGGCAAACTGACATCCAGTTTGGTGTACTGGTTAGGAGCACGGATTCTAATCTGGGAGAACCGGGTTTGATTCCCCATGCCTCCACATGTAGCTGCTGGGCAACCTTGGGTCAGTCACAAGGTCTCTCAGAGCTGTTCTCTCAAAAACAGTTCTCTCAGAGCTCTCTCAGCCCCACCTAACCTCACAGGGGTGGTCTGTGGTGGGGAGGGGAAAGGAAAGGAGATTGGAAGCCGCTCTGAGACTCCTTCAGGTAGTGATGGGCGGGGTATGAATCCAACTCCTCTTCTTGAATTGTAAGCCACTTTGAGACTTCTTAGGCTAGAGAACAGCGGGGTATAAAAACAAACTCGTCCTCGTCTTCTATCTACCTATTTGTCTCCACTGATTCCATCAAGAACCCCCTCATTATTTCCTGCCTTCACTGCTGAGATGTTACCTGCTACCTTTCTTAAACCCCCCAAGCTCTCTATTTCGCTCCACCGCTCTGACTACCTTTTCTGCGCTTCAAAAGCATCATTCTGCTTTACCAAATGTTTTCCTCCTTCTTCTTGCTTCCTGCAGTGAGTTTCGAGTCCTCAGACGCCTCGTTTTCAGATCAAGAGCGGGGAGAGCCACATCTCTTTTCATTTTGTTTTTACCCTGCCTCTTAAATCGAATCTCGGTTGCTTCCGTGTGGATTTCCGGCTCCGAATCCTTCCCTACCCAACTTGAGCGGCTTTAGACTGAGCTCCTTCTATGGTTCCTCTGCCTCTGCTCTGCGATTTCCCAGGCCTGTTCAGCGTGATTGTTCCCAGAACCGTTGTATCCAAAGCAAGTTTGGGGGGCAAATGTCTCTGCTCCTCCCCACTCACACTGGGTGCCACATCCTGCACCACTTTCCCCTCGAGCTCACCATTCCCCCCCCCCATCACGGGCAGACTTTTACCCTTTAAAAAAAAAAAATCAGTAGTAGATCTATTGCTATATGAGACTAAAAGGTAAAAGTTCCCTTGCTTGAAAGCCAGTCGAATCCAACTCTAGGGTTGCGGTGCTCATCTCCGTTTCAAAGCCGAAGAGCCAGCGCTGTCCAAAGACGTTTCCATGGTCATGTGGCCGGCATGACTAAACACCAAGGCGCACGGAACGCTGTTACCTTCCCATCGAAGTGGTACCTATTTATCTCCTTGCAATTTCTTGCTTTCGAACTGCTAGGTTGGCAGGAGCTGGAACTAGAGATGGGAGCTCACTCCGTCATGCGGCACTCGGGTCTCAAACTGCTGAACTACTGACCTTCCACAGCCTGCAGTTCAGCGTCTTAACCACTTGAGCCACTGCAGCTCAACGATATTATTATGAGAGAAGAGAGAGGAGGAGATTGGATTTATACCTCGCCCCTCACTCAGAGTGGCTTACCAACTCCTTCCCCTTCCCCTCTCCACATCAGACACCCTGTGAGCAATACTCCCTCTAAGAGCTGTGGAGTCTTGTGAGCAAAAATTCTACTTAGTGAGCTACTGGCATTAAAGCTGTGAGCAGGTGATTTGCCTACCGCCTAAATTAGTTTGCTCTGGAGCCATCCTTCCCGAGCGAAGACAAAAATGTGTGAGCTGGAGGCTAAAAAACGGTGAGTTAGCTCACACTAACTCAGCTTAGAGGGAACACTGCCTGTGAGGTAAACCGGGCTGAGAGAGCTCTGAGAGAACTGCCCTTGAGAGAACAGCTTTGAGAGAACTTGTGACTGGTAGAAGAAGAAAAAGAAGAAGTTAAAAAAAATTAAAAAATAATAAAAACTAAAAAAGCAGAGATTGGATTTATACCCCACCCTTCACTTGGAGTCTTGGAGCGGCTTACAAACTCCTTCCCCTTCCCCTCCCCACAACAGACACCCTGTGAGGTAGGTGGGGCTGAGAGAGCTCTTTCCAGAACTGCTCTTTCTAGGTCATACCATGTGGAGGAGTGGGGAACCAAACCCGGTTCTCCCAGATTAGAGTCTGCGCTCCGAACCACTACACCAAACTGACTAAAACCCAGGGCTATTTTTGGGCAGGAACGCAGAGGAACGGAGTTCCGGCTGGCTTCAGAGTTGGCCACACCCACTACAGCCGAAACCTGCATACATGGCTACAGAGGGAAGCCCTGGAGAGCAAACCCCCCCGCAACTCTGAGGTGGGGGGGCCAGGGGGGTCCCGGAAGGATCAGGGAGGCATTTAAATGCCTCCCCATGCCTTCCCCGGCCTGTCCAAGGCCAGCTTGCCCGGGCTCTCTGCAGCCACGGGGCGCCCGGGCAAGCCAAGAGAAGGCATGGGGGTGTGGCCTAATATGCTAATCAGCTGTGCTGTCAAGGGTGTGGCCTAATATGCCAATGAGTTTCTGCTGTTGGTGTGGCCTATTATGCTAATGAGTTCCTGCTGGGCTTTTTCTACCAAAAAAGCCCTGCTAAAACCTGTTTTTAAAAAGCCTGTTTGAGGTGGGGAGGAAGATGGGGGCATGAGTAGAAAGCGTGGAGAAAATCCTTGGGGGGGGGGGCTCCACTACTGCCGCAGAGGCCTGTGTACTCCCAGCAACAAGGAAAGCAAGGGAACGGCCCCCGTGCAGAAACGACCCTGTCCCTCTAACCGCCCAGATCTGGAACTCGCTTCCTCCTGACATTAGACTTCCCCCCTTCCTCTTTGACTTGCTTTTTTCTCTCCCTCGTCTCCTCTGACCTCTCCCTCTCTTTCACTTCATCCTCTCTCCCTCAGCGGTACTTTAATCCCACTTGCCTGGTTCTTATTTCCAGACGCTTCCTCCAATTGCGCCGTCTCGCCCCCCAGCGCAATTTCACCTCTGTCCTCCCCTTTCTCAATCTTCAGCCTGATTCTTGACAAGTCGCTCTCCCCCCCCATCTCCTTGCCCTCCTCTTTTGTATCCTGTCTGCTCAGATTGTAAGCCCGCGGTCAGGGATCTGTTCATTTTACTTCTGTTCGGCGTGTCATATATTACAGGCACTGTATTGAATTACGACGGTCCTTCTGCATTAAAGGTCAGATTTTTCAAAGGGGGAAAAATTCATTTAGGTGCATCACTTATGTGGAAAGTCAGTGGCGCGGCTCTAAAAGGCAACCAAAGCCTTTGCTTTCCTAGCTTGCGTTTCAATAGTATTTGGGTGATAAAAAGAGAATAAGAGGGAACTACCCAGGACCAGGGTTCCCTCTAAGCTGAGTTAGTGCGAGCTATCTCAGAAAACAGGATCACGAAATGACGGGGGAAATTGGGCGAAGCCGCGGGTCAAAATGTGGCCGCGTGGCTTCGAGTGGGAAATCGACCAATAGAAGTGGGGCAAAGGGAGGCGCGACCGCGGTGCAACTCTTGTGTGAAATCGGCCTCACAGTTTTTTAGCCTCCAGCTCACAGATTTTTCTCTTAGCTCAGGAAAGATGGCTCCAGAACAAACAAATTTATGTATTGCTCGCTCGCCACTTTAATGCCAGTAGCTCACAAAGTAGAATTTTTGCTCACAAGACTCCACAGCTTAGAGGGAGCATCGCCCAGGACCAGCTACCATTTAGTTTCTCCTCTTGCAGGACTGACGGTGACTGTGCCGCCTGGCTCCATCTGACCATCAGCTCTAGTGAGACCTCACCTAGAGTGTTGTGTACGGTTATGGGAACTGCAATTTTAGGTCAGTGGGGCTGAGAGAGCGCTGACAGAAACGGCTCTTTTTCAAGGACAGCTCTTATCAGAACTAGGGCTTGCCCAAGGTCATCCAGCCAGGTGCAAGTGGAGGAGTGGGGGAATCAAACCCGGTTCTCCCAGATTAGAGTCCGCACACTTAACCACGACACCAAACTGAGGAAAGGCTGAAGGAGCTGGGTATGTTTAGCATGGAGAGGAGACGACTGAGAGGTGATATGATAACCATCTTTAAGTACTTGAAGGGCTGTCACAGAGAGGATGGTGTGGAGCTGTTTTCTGTTGCCCCAGAAGGTTGGACCAGAACCAACGGGTTGAAATTAAATCAGAAGTTTTCAGCTAAACATTAGGAAGAACTTCCTGACAGAGCGCGAACTTAGGCAGATCCTGAGAGGGAGGGCAGGAAGGGTTTCATCAGTGCTTAGTTCTTGTGGCCCTTTCTTACACACCCAGGGAAATGCCGATCGCCGCGTTGGAGTCAGGAAGCAATTTTTCTCCAGGCCAGTTTGGATGGAGATCCTGGAGGGGTTTTTTTGTCATCTTTTGGGTGTGGAACAGCAGACACTGGGGGTGGGGGGGGGCAGGTATTTGTGACTTTCCTGCATTGTGCAGGGGGTTGGACTAGATGACCCTGGAGGTCCCTTCTATGAAAGAGCAAAGCCCTGCCTGGCTCATCCAATCCCAGAACACTCCACAGTAACTGCCATGAGTTGGACCAATGGCCATTTGGCCGCTCCTCTTTGCCCCCCCCCCAACTGCCTTGTGCACGGTCATTCCACATGTTCATGATTTCACCATTATACAAATTATCTAAGAGTTTATTCCTCTGTTTCTTTTCTTCTTCCCTTTCTACTGTTCCCTGTGTAGTAAAGGAAGTTATTTTTGAATTGTGTCCTACCTTGAATACAATAGTAGAAAAGGTGGACATAAATAAAAGGCAACAGGCCAAAAGAGAGAGCTCTATACAAATGAGGGGACTAGTTAGATTTGAAGGAAGTTGACAGAGAGAGACTCAGGAGGTCCAAATCCCTCGAGGGTGCTTGGAAGCTATTTAAAACCACACTAACTGAAGCCCAGATAAAATGTATTCCCCAGGTTAGGAAAGGCACAGACAAGTCTAAAAGGATGTGGTTAATGAAACAAGCCATAAAAAAAAACCCCGAAAAGGCTTCTTTTAAAAAGCGGAAGGTTTGCTTTTACAAGGTGAACAGACAGGAACACAGGGTCTGGCAAAAGAAGTATGAAGTTAATAATTACGCTAGCATGCCACCACATGAGAAGGGAGCACTCACTGGAGAAGACCCTGATGCTGGGAAAGACTGAAGGTAAAAGAAGACGGGGACGGCAAAGGATGAGATGGTTAGAGTGCTACTGATGCAAGGAACATAGAGGCCCCGGTCACACGGAAGGTTTTGGCCCGAGAGAGGGACGGATCGGGGGCGCAGCAAACGGGTGTGATCTCACTGCAACATCTGGGAAGCGGCGCGCACCCGTCCCCGATCCATCCCTTCAGGCCGAAAATCCGCTGTAAAAAAACCCCACCTACAGAGCAGGACTTACCGGAAACGCCGCATCAAGCGTGGCTGTCGGCTCGCTGGAGCGCCCTTCTTCCGGAGCAATCGAGGCTCCCAGCTGAACTGCGCATGCGCACACATGCACAGCCAACGGCCTCACGCTCCCTTCCATGGCTTTATCCCCGGCATCTGATTGTGCCGGGGAGCAACTGCGCGGCGGCTCACGGGATCTGTGTGATCCCGCCGCCGCATGTCTCTTTTGGTGTGGCTTTCAAAAGCTGCACTTTGCCCACCTCAATTTTCCCCCGTGTGGCAGGGGCCGAAGTTAAGCAAACTCCGGAGGACGAGAGAGGGCAGGGGGGCCTGGCGTGATGTGGTCCATGGGGTCGCGAAGAGTCGGACTCGACTGTGTGACTGAACAACAACAACGACAAAAGAGAATTTAAGGAGTGAATTGCTAAAAGTATCAAATAATAATTTCTTTAGATATATCTGCAGCGGGAAGCCAACCAGAGAGGTAGTTGGGCCTTTGGTCGACCAAGAAATAAAAGGCTCGCTAAAGGAAGATGGGGAGGTGGCACAGAAGCTCAATGAATTCTTTGTGTCTGCTCACTGTGGAAAGTTTGGGGCAGAGAGCCAGGTCCGAGCAAATATTTTCAGGAATGAAGTCTGTACAACTGAGTCAAATGAAGGTTAAAAGAGATGAAAGTACTCCACTTGGAGTCCTGTGTCCAGTTTTGGGCACCACATTTTAGGAAGGATGTTGACAAGCTCGGGGGTGTCCAGAAGAGGGCAACCAGGATGGTGAGAGGGTTGGAGTCCAAGTCTTAGGAGGAAAGGCTGGAAGAGTTGAGTCTGTTTAGCCTGGGAAAGAGAAGTCTTAGAGGGGACATGATTGCAGTCTTCAAACATTTGAAGGGCTGTCATGTAGGAGACGGAGCAGATCTATTATCTCTTGCTCCGGATTGCAAGACTAGATCTAATGGGTGGAAATTACAAGGGAGTCGTTACCAGCTAAATATCAGGAGAAACTTCCTAACTGTAAGAGTGGTTGAGCAGTGGAACAGTCTGCCTCGGGAGGTGGTGGATGCTCCTTCGCTGGACGTTTTCAAGCAGAGGCCGGACGACCATCTTTCAGGTATGTTGTAGGTATGTAGGGCTATCTTTCAGCTATGCTCCTGCAGAGTGCAGGGGGTGGGACTAGATTACCTGCAAGGTCCCTTCCAACTCTAACGTTCTATGATTCTATGATTCTAAGTCTAGACTTACCAGGGAAATTAAAAACCAGTAAGTTTCTGGGCCCTGATGGGATACACCGAAGAGTTCTTAGGGAACTCATACGTGAAATTGTTGCTCTACTAACGAGTATGTGTATTATATGCAACCTGTCACTAAAATCAACCACTGTACTGGAGGACTAGAGAGTAGCAAACATTACACCAGGTTTTTTTTAAAGGGGTCCAGATGAAAACCAGGAACTTTCAGACCAGTTATCTTAACATCTGTCCTAGTCGAATTAGTAAAAACAAGGAGGGACCCGTGATACTCGTGGGGGGGGGAGGAGCTCAATGTGGAGGAGGAGGAAGCAGCCACAGGTGAGCCTTCTCCCCCGCTCCCCCCTGGAGGAATGGCAAAGCCCGAGCCCGCCAATCCTTCTCCCCCAACTCCCCCAAATCGACAGCGAGACCCACGCGGCTCCCAGCTGCCAGGTCCACCAATCCTTAAGAACATAAGAACATAAGAGATGCCACTGTTGGATCAGGCCAAAGGCCCATCCAGTCCAACACTCTGTGTCACACAGTGGCCAGAAATACCAGTGCCATCAGGAGGTCCAGCAGTGGGGCCAGGACATTAGAAGCCCTCCCACTGTTGACCCCCCCCAGCACCAAGAAGACAGAGCATCCTTCCCCTCTGCCTTCCCCCCGGCTCCAGCAGCGCGGCCTGAGCAGCTCCTAGTCGCCAGGCCCGGTGATCTCCTACCCCCTGGCTCCAATGGTGTGGCCTGAGCGGCTTCCAGCTGCCGGGCCCGCCGCGCCTCCTCCCCCAAAATGGCCAGAGCGTTCTCTGCGCATGGACAGGGAATGCTATTTTACTTTTGGGGGGGATATAAGTATCCCCCGTATATTTTTCCCGTATTTTTTTCAACTTTTTAGATTTTTCTGCACGCCTGGAGACCGCTCCAAGTGTGCAGGAAAATCTCCCTGCCCCCCAAGTGCCCCCGATGTACAGATTTAGATATCCGCACAGAGGGGGCAACTTGGCTATTAGATATATAGATTATAATCAAAGATAGAATTATTAGACACTTAGAGGAACAAAGCCTGCAGTGAGAAAATCAGCGTGGTTTCTGCAAAAGGAAGTCCTGCCTCACCAACCTTTTGGAGTTCTTTGAGAAAGTGAACAAGCATGGAGATAACAGTGAGTGACCCCGTAGATATTATCTACTTGGACTTTTAAAGGCTTCTGACAAGGAACTTTAGCAAAGACTCCCGAGTAAGCTTAGCAGTCATGGTATCGGAGGACAGGTTCTCCTATGGATGAAAAATTGGTTAAATGACAGGAAGCAAAGAGTTAGGGATAAATGGACAGTTCTCACAGTGGCGGGAAGTAAGCCGTGAGGTCCCACAAGGACTGGTATTAGGGCTCGTGCTATTTAATTTGTTCACAAATGATCTGGAACAGGTGGTGAGAAGCGTCGCG